GTAAGACATGCAGGAAGTCGATAGATGCAGGTGGCTCAGGACCGTGCTTTGTGGCATTACTTGGGGGAGGCCTATGTTCAGCAGTGGACTTGTGAAGGGCTGTAATGATGATGATGATGATGAGGTAATATATAGGTTGAAAATAAAAAAAATAACAAAGCTAAACCATTTTCTAACGTGTTGGCATGCACAATTTATGAGAAAACTAATCAAATGTCATTTTTTCAACCGACTTCTAAAAATGGAGGAGGTTGTCAATTCGACTGTATTTTTTATGGGTGTTACTTCAGAACTTTTTTTAGGTGAACCGATTTTGATATTTTTATAAGACTTTTTTATTTGAGAGCAGTTGCGTTTTTGTGGTCGCATATAAATTTGACCAAGATCTTACCAGTAGTTTTTGAGTTATCCTTAATAATACATATTTAATTATTGACTTCGACTAACATTGATGATATTCTCATTTTTATATTGAAGACAATAGTACATTTTTTTTAATTTTATCTAAATAAAAAAGAACATGCACTCGAATTGAGAAACTTTTCCTTTTTGAAGTCGGTTAAAAATAATGATGTGTGCGTGAGTACATGTCAAGTACAAGTTGAGCATGGTTTCGAAATCACTTAATACATATGTCTTTTTTTGTTGGTCTAGAATTTTAAAAAGACCCGTAGTTAGCGAGGCAATAACTAATTTGTTTCTAGCAAAAAGAATACCAACCTAGTGTGTAACCACCAACATAATACTATATACATAGCAATTTCGTTCTTCAAAAAACTCATCAAGTTTACTTTTAGGTCTTTGAGATCAATAACTCCAACTCTCATTACTTTAACTAGAACTATTCGACTCTTCGTCACTCATGTCAAATTGTAAACTTATCACTCCGAGAACAAGGATTAGAGTAAAAACAATTAATACATTAGACTCGAAGCAAATCTTAATTGGGAATGACTGGAATTAAAATAAATACTACTATTTGTAAGTACACGCCGAAAGACCGACAAAGGAAAGTTCGGAATCCTTTGATAAAATTAATGATTCTTCAGATGATTAATAAAGTAGATACGTTGCCAGATAGGTATAGTGTGCCTACGTAAAAATGAAATGTAAATATATAAATAAAATTGTGTATATTATGTTCTTCTTGTGATTGAATTAATCTACGTTAATTAAATTAAATTTGCCTTCACTCGTTTGAAACTCAAAATACAAATATGTTTTATTCATGTAGGCATTAAAAATATACTTTTGAATAGTCATATAATCACTGTTTTCCCCAATTTTTTCTATTCCATGTCCAGGAGTTCTGATTCTACTGAGAAGAATCATGGAAGAAAGTAAGAAACTCAGTAGTTGCACTTTTCTTTTTTTGTTTTTTTTTCGGTTTTTGTTCTTTCTTTGTAGGTCACATCTATATCTGCAGATGGCTCTACCACGTTATTATTATTTATACAAAATTCATTTTTACAATAGTTCTATAATTATGTAAAGCGATAAGTCAAATATAAAATGTCAAATGTATATGTATATACCAAATCGGTTTAGAAATTTCTAGTTAGTCCTGTGTAGTACGAGAGGTCAGTTCCAAGCATTTTTGTCTGACTTAAATTGAAAAGGTGAAAGATCTAACATTTCTTTTGGAATCTTATTATAAAAGCGTATATCGCTACCCAAGAACGCATTATATAATTTGTGTAACCGGAAAGCAGGTATTGTGATTTTATTTTTATTTCTACTATTAAAATTGTGCAAATCACTATTATTTACATCAATTCGATGCAATCAATTTCTTTAAACGGGTCTCTAAGAGATACTCGGGCTCCTAAAAAGTACATAGATCTTATTTTACGCTTTTTATTTAATATGCACACTTTTTATATTATTCGATTAGCATTGTACAAAATGTTTACACGTTTCAAGTGTGTTAAAAATGTCTACAATATTTATCAAATAGGTGACATATTCGAACACTTTGTGTTCAAAAACACACACTTCCAAAAATCGAGATTTGCAGTGAACTAATTGAACATGTTTATCTATTAGGTAATAGTAATAATAGTAAGTAATTATTATAAACCCATATAGTTAATATTATAATAATTACTTACTAGAATAAATTATTATGGTATCTACCTATCCTTACCATTATCTAATTACAATATTCCTTGCGAGATCAGCATAATGTATTCGTGTCCATTCTGAGCACCCGGAAACTTATTTTATTCTTTGGAACATGTACTCTGTGGCGGCATTCAAACTGTTCTTGCTCAAATCTTACACGGTCAGTCTTGGTCTTGGTCTTGATAAAATTAGGCGGTCTTGTTCTTGTGTCTTGCAAAAATACAAGAACAAGACCAAGACTGTAAGACCAAGACCGATTTTGGGCAACACTAGTTTGAACCGTGGATAAAGTATTATACTTTATTTAACTTTTGATTTTTTAAGATTGTAAGATTGTACGACTCACGATTTCATATATTTCCCTAGGGTACTGCGGCAATATACTGGCAGTCCATAATGGAACGAATTTTTTATCAATGAGAGCACTGAACAGTGGTCACAGTGTATATCGGAACACGACCTAGATCATACTACGTCGGGCAAAGCTTTGTTAGTTTGTGAGGGCAAATCCGTTGCTGCTGCATTGATACTGCTGTTCCTTATCATCAGTCAGTCAATCATTACTGGGCGGTGGAATTTATTTTCTGCCTAGCAGTCCGTCTGGGTAGGTACCACCCTCTTATCTATTTCTGCCGCTCACTGTGTTCCGCCATGAATGATATGGAGAGCCAGTATAGTTACAGGCTGCTAGGCATTCCATCTTAGTCCTCAACGGTAGCAACGCATCTGTCGGCTTCTCTTTTGAAGTTGGCTTAGGTGTTCATGGGTTGCAGTAGCCGCTAAGCATCAACAAGTGGATTGTGAGTTAATTTTTCATTTCACGCTTTATCGTGTTTTATAAAAAAAGAATTCCCACAGCTCCTTGCATCTCGAGAGATGCTCTAAGGAAAGGAAAGCCCGCCGTATTGCTTCTATGCGTGTTAAAAACGTTACTTGTTCCCGAACTTTTATGTCTCAAACATTAAGCAGGTGCGATGTTTCCAGTCTAGTTCGGCTGAGCATTTAATATTGAAAAAAAAAGAGTCTAAACCAAAAATAAAAATCAATTTGTGAATCCATAGGTTTACAGCGATATCACTTAATAACTATGTTTCGCTCAAAGAGCATAAATATTGTTATTTTTACACATCTATTTACTTTTAATTAAAACATTATTAAATTTTACACTTACACTTATTTAATTTATTTATTTATTTATTACATAATTATAACATTATTACAAGATACATACATGCTAAATTACTTTTTAGCATGTATGTGTAATGCTGTCATAATTAATTTTATTTATTACACTTTTGTATCGCATTTACCCCAGGGCGTGCACAGAGAAAGTGTTCGGATTAATTCCAATCGCCGAATGGATGATTGTACGAAGACTAGAAAAGAAGGGTTATGTTTTTCTATTATCTTTTTAAGTTTACTGTAATAATGGTTGTGGTGGTTGTATTAGTAATAAAGAGGACTTAGCTGTATGTTTTACGTTAAATAAGTCTATATAAAAGTGTGCGCGTGAAAATTAAACTCATCGCGTAACCAACCAGAAATGGCAAAATAACGTCTGTCGAGCCAGCTACACAAAAATAAATGTAGATGTCTATGCATCCACTTACAATCTGGTGGACTGTGTGCTCGTTTGCTAAAACATTCTATTTAAAAAAAATTGGTTGACCCTGTGGGACATCCCTGGAACTTCCCACTAATTTCAAATGCAAAACGCTCCAAATTTCATCAAATTATGACGTTGAATATGAAATATTGAAGTAATTTAAAAAATTCAATGTATTCAAAAATTTTTGCTAACGATGATATCTCACGAAAGAATCAACCGATTTTAACCGGACCGGCGGCGATCGACGTGTTCAACAGTGGACTTTTATAGGCTATAATGGATGTAATAGATGGATACTTCCCACCTCATAAGCACTTACATCATTTTTACAAAAGTAAATATTTTTGTACATAATACATACATAAACACTCACGCCTGTCACCCAGAGGGGTAGGCAGAGACTACGGACTTCCATTTGGCACGATCCTGACACACCTCTTTCGCCTCCTTTACATCCATATATCTACGCATACATGCTCGTCGGTTAAGGGTACTTCTAACGTGGCCCCTTTTCAAAATATCGCCAATTTGGTCGATAAACTTTTTTCTAGGGCGTCCCTTCCCGACTCGGCCGTTCACATCTACCATATAAATTTGCTTTGTCACTCTTTCCTCATTCATTCTTTCTACATGACCAAACCACCGAAGCATTCCTTTCTTAATCCTGGTCACAACATCATCTTGCATACCACATTTATCTCTTATCATGCAATTTCTCACCCTGTCATTCAGATTCAATCCTAGCATACTCCTTAAAGACCGCATTTCTACAGCAATTATTCTACTTTCGTGCTTCTTCTGCCACACCCAGCTTTCACTACCATACATTAAAGTAGGGACTAACACAGCATTATGAATTACCATATGTGCCTTTTTTGACACATTCTGGTTCTTCACAATAGAGTGTAGTGCCCCATTCACTCTATTCCCTGCATTTACTCGTCGTTCTATATCCCTATCATATCACAAACTCATCCACTTGCTCAATTAACTCTCCTTCTATTCTTATTTCACATACCGTTTTGCTTTCCTCTCTTTCAAAAACCATCACTTTCGTCTTACTTGCGTTAACTTTCATTCCCCTTTTATTCCCTTTTCATTCCTTTTATTTTTGTAATAATCTAAAATACTTTTTCATTATTATTACGTTCATCATAATTTTTTGTATAATAACAATTGAAAAGGTTTTTGTATAAAATTAATTTGCTACAAAGTGTTATCGCACTTTAACATAATATTTATAAAAACGCCAAGGGTAACCACATACAAGTATTGTAAGCCAGCCAGATGTCGGCACTGGTCGGCACTCCTGGCACGGTTGCCGTAAAACAACGGTGTTGGCAACGGTTGTATTTTGAGAAATAACGACGCGTATCGATGACCATAAATTACTGAAACATTCATGCCTAATTATAAATTTAAAAAAGAGCACGTAGGAAAATAGAGAGTAAACCTAGAGACGAGTCTGAAACTCTATGTACACATAGTAGGTTCTAATTGAATGTACAAAATATTTTTATTTTCATGGGGATGATGACAGTAAAAAAGGAAATGATATTGATTAAAACTACTTTTACGGATTTTATCGCGTTTATTTTACTTTTAATTCCCGACGTTTCGTGTGCTTTCCAGCACCCACGGTCCGCCGTGACCATGGGTGCGATAAAATCCGTGAAAGTAGTTTTAATCAAAGTGTAGTGTTCCCGTCAATATAAGAAATCATTAGGAAATTATATTATCATACCCTACATTTTAGTTGAAGTAAAAAAAAATCTATTATTATCATTTGTATAAACTCACATAACATTCTGAATATCGAATATACTTCTGAATTAATATTTGACACTGATTTATAAAACATTTTTTTTTCTGAATATTCAAATAATAATATTATAAAATAATATAAATTAATACCAAAGTAACATTCAATAAAAATATTATTAGCTTTTTCTTTTAGTATAATGTTATCACTCCTTAAGTTTAGGACCAAATATTTTGTTACTACTAATGGGGTCTCTTTTTGTATAAAATTATATATTTTTAAATTATATATAAGAGTGACTAACGAACACACTGGCACTGCTACGCCTCCGTGGCGAAGTGGCTTAGCGATGTATGACTTGTAATGCTTGGCTTGTGGAACAATTTATATGGATCACAAATAATTGTCCCTGGTCTGGATGTTTGTCTAAAGAGAAAATTCTAGTGTGGAGGCAACGTAGGCTACTATTTTACGCTGGTATTCTGTAAAAGCACGTGGTCTTGTCTCGGTCGAGCCAACCCATTCATGCTCCACCCATAGTATAGCTACAGCTTGGCTCTACCACATATATATCTAACGTATCTGCTTCTTGTCATTATTTATACGAAACACATTAGCATAATATTGATATTTAATGCGAGTGTGATGTTTTTGACCCATTAATGCTGCTGCCATAATATGTCAAAGGCGTGGCTCAAACACCTTTAAATTACCTAGATATCAACACATTGGCATATAGTAAAACAAAGGGGATTAAATCAGTTTACTAATTAAATCGTCTAGTCTGTGTTAGGCAGAGATCAAAGGCACGTTACAATTTACTCGTGATACGTGAAGCTTTGACTACGCGTCAACTAATTTGTGTAGGATTGCACGTTTTCTGTTAGTTCCATGAGAGCTTGTTGGTATTGTTGATCGAAGGAGCGTACCTACTGAAGTTAATTTAAAGTGGCTCTATAGTTTTTGAGAGTTAAAATCACGTTAAAGATTTATGATTTTGTATTTCCATAACTCTCAACAAATTGTTTTTTAGTTAGTCACCGATCAAAAGTGCATCGTAGTTCTGTTTCAGTCTAGTAAAATTTGAGGACCACTTACGTTTATTGCTAGCGATCGAAATTTTGGTCTTAATATTACTTACAGTAGTATAAAATTGCTAAGTTGACATATATAATCGATGTAAGAATTTAATCAAACGTTTTAATATTTCAAGCTGTGATTATTTATAACATTGATGAAAAACATTATCAGGTATCATCATTCTTACACGGCCACTACACGGTCACTACGTTCATTACATACCGATTAAGTGTAATATGCCTTTACAAGTAATAATTTGATAATATTAATGTTTTTTTACATAATAAAGAAGTGATCAGCGAACTAATAGTGCACCTGATGTTAAGTTAGTTACGACAGCCCATAGACACCTGCAACCAATTTTAAACAATGTCGGGTGCCGATGTGTTGTCACCTCTGCAGACTATGATGAAGTGCCTCTCAGCTTATAATTATACTGATCTATACCTTTCAGAAATCAGCGGCCGGCAAAAATAGTTAAGGCAGTCAAGGAGTCCTCCCACTATATATGAGTATATTCTGTATTCCCTCAAGAATGCATCAATCGTGTTATATTTAAACCCGTACCCTTCCCTTTAGAAATAATATGAGGTCTGTAAACCATCATCACCATTAACAAAAAACTAGTTGTGAATCACTAGTAATGTCCGTGTAGTGGCGGTTTAAGAACATTTACTGCCCCATGTCAGACCGTGGGTGTCGTAAGACACGACAGAGGGAAACAAATCAGGAGCTGCTATTCATTAGCAGCGTCTTTCTAATAACAACTAAAAGTAAAATAAAACTGCGGTTGTCAACCAGCTGCTAAAACGTGGCAGCTGTGGCAAATTTCCTCCCCGTGAGGCAATCTATGGGGGAGGCCTATGTTCAGCAGGGGACTATAATAAGCTGTAACGTAACGGTAATAGAAGTTTAATAAATATCACCTTAGAAATAATTTTAATTTTAATAAATTATATTTTTAAAAAGTGATTTAGTCAGTAAAATTTTTATTAAATTGAAGTTAATTTATTTCGGTAAGCTTTTATTTTTTTTCGTTTCCCATGAATTAAATAATGATGTCCACAGTCCATATAATACTTATTGGTGTGAAACCACCTCAATTGTTTAAATCAATTTAATTTGCATATTCAGTTGTCACAAAGGGCGAATGGATCATAAATGGAAATGGAGTTTATATTCCGCATTCTGATCACTATTTCCTATTAGCCTTGATAGAAAATAATCAAGTAACCTGAATTATTACGATATATAAGGTAGGATAATGTATGCACCTTTGACTTTACTACGTTCATCGCTCGCTTTATTTAACATAATTCATCACGCGGCCAATTTCCGTTTTTAACTCTTATACAAATTAAACAACACTAATCGACTTAAAATTGACTAGAAACAGTGGCTTCAGAAGTACTCCTTAAGCGTATATTCCCACAATTCCAACAACCGTCGTTGGCCATCAACATCTATCTGAAGTAAGTTTGCCAAGCACCTACTTTCGGTGAACCCTTTCGCTGGTACTTCGGTGAACGTGGGTAACCAAGTACCTAATGTTTCGTGCATTATGATAGTTCAGAATGTACATGTTCTGTGCGTCTATAAAACAGAAAAATTTATAATTCATATGCTTAAACTAAAACATATTATTTAGTTCTTCTTATTACCTGAGTCTGTAAAAATATCCTAGCTTATACAAACATGACCTACTAAGTGTTTACCACACTACAGTCTGAGTTTTGTCCTGGTCACAGCAAATAATGCTTGTTGATTTTTCTACTGTTTTTATTATAGTAGACCATAATATATTTCTGGTCATTCTTTCCGATCTTATGTATACTTCCCTCAGGGTGGGAGTTGTTCTCTTTTTTATCTTCGCAGTTGTCAACAGTCTGTTCACATAAGACAAAATCCTTCATATTAGGTTAACCTCATTTACGGCGTACCGCATGATGGTATTCTTTCTCATCCCCTTTATTACCTGCTGACCTAATGATAGCGACTGCGACATAATAATCTGTTTGAGACTATTTTTAATTTACAATAATTTTAATACATGAAGTAGCATTTCATTTAAATTTTTATTCTACGTAATTAAATGTATGTGAAACAAAGCAGTTTTTCAGGACAAGTTTGTTGAAACCTTTTCAGACGCTGGGCTAAGTAACACAGTCAACAAACATTACAGCGACCGCGTGATTGCTCTCATAAGAGTAATAAGCAAAGAAACTTAGACAATCTGTTCACTACATAATATTAATGGTACTCTATAGGTCTTTTGTTGTATGAAATTCACAATAATGTTAAATATGTGTAAAGCAAAAAAAATAGTAGTTAGCAGTCTTTATACGTCCCATTGCTGGGCACAGGCCTTCTCAGGGTTTAGGGCAAGGAAATGTCCAGCACGCTGCCCCAATATTGGCGGATTTTACATGGCTTCGAAATATTTATTTATTTCTCAGACATGCAGGTTTTCTTAGGATGTTTTACTTTATCGCTGAACACGTGGTAAGTCTGTACTTTAAATTGCAATTTGCAATTTCATTAGTGCCGGCGAGGATCGAACCCGGTTTGCTCGCGTACTGTGAAATAGCGAGCGCTAAGCCCCTGAGCTATCACAGCTCTCTAAGCCCCCCAGCTTTAAATAAATATGTATATATATATATATATATATATATATATATATATATATATATATATATATATATATGTAACTTATTAATCATTGTTGTTTCATATTTATTATTACATATTTTTGTTATAACGAAATAATACTAGTTTTTACGGAATAAATCGCGTATATTTAACTTTTTAAATACCCGACGTTTCGAAAGCTTTACAGCACTCATGGTCACGGGCGGGACTGAGATGTTCAACGTCCATATGTCATAGTTAACCGCGGTTACCATAGATTAAAATTTAACTTTTGTTCCGATCTATGCAGTATGAACTTATGGTATCTTGAAGTCTTGCAGTTGTATGCTTGGGTTGGGATTTAATTTTATTTATTATAGGATCCCAAGCAGATGGTAGCACCCAGCCATCTTCTCTATTGAAATTAGGATGTTTTTTTGATTTCAATAGCCTCGCGAATCATCCTTGGAAGGAATCGGTGTTCTTTAGCGAGGATTTGCGGTCTATCAAATCTGATGTAGTGACGGGGGTGATCCTGTACGTGTTCACAGACTGCAGACTTCCCGGAGCGTCGATTCTTCACATCAGCTATATGTTCTTTAACGCGGGTTTTTATTGATCTTTTATTTTGTCCTTTGTAGGAGAGACCACATTCACAATCAAGCTTGTACACTCCTGCATCTTACAGAGGGACATTACACTTGACTGATGGTAAAAACTGACCAATCTTCTTCAGCGGCTTGAAGTATGTTTTGATGGAAGCGCGCTTCAAGATGTAGCTAATCTTGTCAGTGACTCCTCTAACATATGGCAGTACAACAGGTACACGCTCGACTGTGGCCGGCTTCACTCGTTCACTGTGACGTAGGCGCGGCACTCGAAGCTTGTTGTCATGCAAAACTTGCTTGACATGGTGGAGCTCTGCAGCCAGGTG